CCTGCTGGTCCTCCCTTCCCTCCAGGGCAGCTCGGTCCCTGCGACCTCCCCCAGACCTCACCCACCCACCGGGGGCCCCGGGCTGTGGGTCTGGAGAGCTTGCTGGACGAGCCCCGGACCAGGAGCGGGGCGCAGGGTGGGGCTCCGGGAGGAGCGGGTACAAGTCTTTGCCGGACGGAGGGCGCCATCCCCTCTCCCTTGCAGGGTGCTGCTGCTGTGGGGACACGCTCCTGCGGGGAGACCGGGGTCCCCCGGAGACAGCACGTGCTCTAGAGAGACACCGTGAGAGGCCTGGCCCCACCCCTTGTCCCGCAGCAGCCTTCCACGCCTGCTGTTGGGGCAGCCCCCTCCCCTGCCCTGCCGCTGGCAGGCAGGCGGTTTTCTGTCTCTGCGGCCGCCCGTTCTGGACGCGCACCCGCCCGCGGCTGTGCACACGGCCTTCGGCCCTCGCGTTGGGCTTGCTTGCGTGTGAAGTTGGCCAGGTTCCGCGGCAGGCATCGGGACTTCTTTTCTTCTGAGGCCGAAAGAGACTCCACGTACGGACAGACTACGTTTCATTGACGTGTCCGTTGATGGACCTCAGGCTGTCCCCACGTCGGCCGTCTTGAGCCACGCTGCCGTGGGCGTCGTGTGCGGTTTGTGTGTGGACGCGGCCTACCAGCGGAAATGGAGGGCTGCGTGTTGAACTGCCCGGTGGCCCGATACTCCTCGTGGCATACTTTCCACGTAACGCCTTCGTTTCGCCTCCTGCTCCTCCCACGGTCTCTAGAATTTCGAACCTTTACTGGTTTTTAATACAAAAAGTATTTATTTAAAAACAGTAACAGCCACTGTGCCGCATGTGTGGTTTTGGCTCACCGGTGCCTTGTGTCCGCCCGTGTCCCGTCCTGAGGGCCTGTGGCTTCCCGTGTCTGGGTTTAGCATTGGGTTGACGGTTCTTGTTCCCGTCACCTGGAAGCCAGCCCTGCGCGCGGCCCGGGCCTGCACGGGTGAAGTCTGCTGCGGGTCGGTTCAGGTAAAGCACACTCTCTCTCTCACGGCTTTTTACACCTGTCACGTAAGGTTGATTTACCGTGTGTTTTGGGTGCAGTTCTGTCCATCTTGCCACACGTACGGATTGATGGCCAGAATACGGGATAGCGCCGTCGTCCCTGTAGACGCCGCTGCGCTGCGGCCCCCGCACCTGTGACTCCCCAGCCAGTGCCCTGCTCTCGTCACCGTGGCTTGTCCGAGGGTGCCGTCAGTGCGGCCCGACAGTGTAGAACCTTCTGAAGCTGGTGCTGCTCAGCAGGATGAATGCCTCGGAGCTTCAGATGTCGTGTGGATCAGAGATTTGTCTTGTCTGTTTGTTGAGGAGCGTTCCAGTGCTCAGACGACCTGTCTGTCTGAGCATACACGTGTTGAGGGGAGTGCGAGTGGTTTCCAGATTTCTGTGGTCCTGCGTAGAGCTGCGCACGTTCGGACACAGGCTGCCGGGGAGCCCGCTTCCGTTTTCCCAGAGGGCTGGCCTGGCTGTTCGTAAAAGATACTTTGGAAGTTCCCGATCCTATGTCCCCAGTGTTTAGACACAGTTGATTTTTGGGTGTTGTCTTTATGTCCCATAAGCTCGATAAACGCACTTACTGGTCCAGGAGGTTGTTCAAGTGTGTGTTTTTGTAGCTTTGGGGGGATTTTTCACATAAACGGTCGTGGCATCTGTGAACAAGGACAGTTGTGTTGTCCTCCAGTCGGTATGTCCTTCACGCCTCTTGCCCACCGTGGCCCACCTGCAGAGTCCCCCGCTGGGAGACGGAGCCTGGGTACCAGAAGGGGCTGCCTGGGCCTCGTTCCCGCTCTTGGGAAGGTTCCTTCTTTCACCACCAGGTACGACGTGACCTGCAGCCTGGAGCGATGCCTCCGTCAGGCTGCCGCAGCTCCCGTCCGCTGTTCCTGCTTCGCAGAGAACTTTGTCATGACTTGGGTGCTTTGTGAAATGCTCTCTCTATGGCAGGTGTTCCGCCCAAGTGTTTTCCTCTGTTTTGCTGCTGTAGGAGCCGACGTTGACTGGTCTCTGAGTGTGGAAGCAGCCTTGCATTTCTGGATTGAATCCCACTTGGTTGTGGCATACTCTTCGTTTTATGTTTCTGGATTTGGTTTCATAATCTCTTGATTTTGCAACTCTACTCGCCAAGGATGTTGAGCTATAATTGTCTTGCTTGTAGTCTGTGGTTTCCATGTCGGGGTGACGGTGGTCTTAGGGAGAAGGCGTCTGGAAGCATTGATGTTGAGGTTTGTTTCGTGACTCGGGCTGTGGTCTGTCTTGGTGGGTCGTCCGTGTCCACCAAGAATGTGTGTCCTGCTCTTGCGGAGTGGAAGGTTCTCCGCAGCTCAGGTAAATCGAGTTGGTTGGTGGTTCTTACAGGCCCACTTTTGTCTCCCCCAAAAAGACACGTTGAATCCCCAGTAACAGAATGTGATCTTAATTGGAAACATGGTCTTTATAGTGATAAACAGCTTAAAAGGAGGCATAGGGTGGGTCCAGTGCAGTGTGATTGGGTAGCCGTATAAAAAGGGGAGGCCCAGGGGCACCTGGGTGGCTCAGTCAGGCAGGCGCCCAGCTTTGGCTCAGATCGTGATCTCACAGTTTGTGGGTCCCGGCCCCACGTTGGGCTCTCTGCTGTCAGCGCGGAACCTGCTTGGGATTCTCTCTCCCCCTCTCTGCCCTCCCCCACTCTCTCTCTGTCTCTCACACGTTAAAAAAAAAAAGTAATAAAAAAAGGGGTGGGGAGATTTGGACACAGACACACACAGAGGGACGGTGGTGGGAAGGGACCCAGGGGGAGGCCAAGTGAGGACGGAAGGTCGGACCGCAGAGTCAACAGACGAGGACACCCGAGGACGGCCGGCCCCCCGGCAGCTGGAAGAGGTGAGGGGGGTCTCCCTGCAGTGAGCACGTGGACTCGTGGCCTCCAGAACCAACAGGCTTTCCCCCCGCCCCCCTGCGCGGGGTTCCCGGTCACAGCAGCCCCGCAGGTGTGTACGGTGGCCGTTCGGTTCGGCCCCGAGGCAGGACGCCGGCTCCCGCTGCCGGCGGCCTCTGCTCTCTGTCCCGCCGCGTTGCTCCGGCTGTGCTGAGGCTCTTTTGCGAGCCACGCACACGTTGGGGGAATGTCTTTCATCCATGGGCGGCGTCCGGCTTCCCCAGGAGGCTCCCTCTCCGTGGAGGCCAGCGCAGCCGGTCGGGTTTCCTTCGCGGAGGGTTTTTATGGCTTGTCTCCCCCGTCCTCTTGCGTCCCGCCCCCTGACAGCGTGTTTGACGTGCTTGGTGAGCAGCGGGTGGGGCCAGGGGCTCGTGTGTGTGGGTTTCCCCGGTGCTGAGCGAGGTGGGGGGGGAGGGTCCTTTACGTCAGTCCTCCGTCTGTCCCTCCATTTCCTCTCTCCTGCCTGGAAGGACAGGATTTGAACATTTTTTAGTGCTGTTTTAGTGGTGGTTTTAAGGAGCACACCACTCTTTTTTTTTTCCATGTTTATTTTTGAGAGAGGGAGCGAGCGAGCTCAGGGGAGGAGCAGAGAGAATCCCAAGCAGGCTCCGTGCCGTGCTGTCGGCGCACGGCCCGACGTGGGGCTCCGTCCCACAAACCGTGAGACCGTGACCTGAGCCGAGACCCAAGAGTCAGACGCTCAACCAGCTGAGCCCCCCAGGCGCCCCGCAACACGCTCAACTCCTGACGGTTTACTCACGGGCTCGATAGTTTGCACTGTGACTGGGGTGTAGGCACCTTACCCCCAGAGGTCCTTTATCATCCCCCACGGGGCACCTGTCTAGACTGAAAACCCCCATCAGGCAACACTGCTGCCTTCCTTTCAGCTGTCAGACGTGTCTTGAAGAACCCAGGAGGACAGGGGTCAGTCTGTGTCTGTGCCCTCATTGCTGGCGGCCCGGCCTCGTTCTGGTGGCACTTACCTCTTGTCGGAGAAGCTTCCATCGCTGGCTGTGGAGTCTCTCCATCTTCTTTCATTTGAGAACTTATTTCGCCTGTATTCGTGAAGGATGTTTCACCGGACACGGCACTCTGGGCTGCCAGCCTTTCCGTCTTTAACTGTGTCGCTGCTCCTCGAGGCCTCCGGGGCTGCCGGGGAGGGGCCTGTAGGGCAAGCACGGTCCTTCCCCACCGGTCAGGGTTAGTCTGTCCTCGGTTTTCAGAAGCTCGGTGAGCTGTGCCTGGCGGGGACGTCTTTGGCTTTATCCTGTTTTGGGCTCACTCGGCTTCTCAAATCTGTGGGTGTGGGCCTTCCGCCACATGGGACAAGTTTGCAGCCCTTACTTCTTCGGACCCCCGTGCTCTTTCCTTTTGGGCCCCCAGCGGTACGAATGCAAGACCTTTAGTTCTGTCCCCCAGGTCCCTGGGGCCTGAATCTCCTCCTGACGGATTTCCTTTCTTTGTTCAGGTTGCCTAACTTCTGTTGACCTGTCGTCAGTCAAGTTCGCAGACTCTTCTGTCGTCTCCATTCTGCTAGTCTGTCTAGTGAGTTTTAACGGTTTGGTGATTTTGACTTTCAGGCCTAACGTTTCCAGACGACTCCTCTTGTGTCTTGTTTCTTTGCTGAGACTGTTAATATCTTTACATTTATTGCAAAATGTCTGTGATTGCTTCTTCGAGTGTTTTTCTGACCTTTACTTTAGAGTCTCAGAGAATTTCAACACCTATGTTTTTTCACCCTTGGCATCCGCTGAAGGTCTTTTCCTCTGAGTTGGCATCTCGATGGCTCCTTGCAGACCAAGTAATTGTGGGTTACGTCATGGACATTTCGAACGTCACTTGAGCGGGTCCGGGTGTCGTCCGGATCCTGGGCGGCTGGGGCGTCTGCTCCACGGGCACTAGCTCTCGTCAGGTTTGGGCCCTCACCCACAGCGGTCTGTGGCCCGGCCGGTGTCGGCCCAGCTTCCAGGCCCCGGCTCTCTGGACCTGCCCTGCGGCCGGGATTGGGCGGGCCCGCAAGCTCTTGTGTCTGGGTGTGCGGCTGGGCGGTCAGCCTTGGCGGTCACGGCCACCTCCGCCTCCACTCAGCGGCCGTGACCTCCCTCTCGCCTGGGTGCCAGCGCCGCCCGCTGCTCCAGCCAGAGACTCGGGGCTCTTGCTGCCCCACTCTGTCGTGCCCCTCCTGGGTCAGTCCACGTCGGGGTCCCCCCAGCAGCAGCCGGAAAGGGCACAGCAACGGGGGTTCTCTCAGAGCCACGGCTGTGCTCCGCGCTCAACACTGGGGGTTCCCGCAGCTGCCACGCTTGGCGCCACTGCTTGGCGCCACCGGGGGTCACCCGGGGCATGAAGAGAAGTGAAGAGGCCCGGGCATTTCCGCTCCGTGAGCACCAGGGGCTGAGGCCACTAGGAGTCCGGGCCGGCACGGACACTGAGTGCGTGTCCCGCTCTCACTTCGCCTTGCCCGCCGCTGCTGTCGCCGTGCCGCAGGAGGGCCGGGGTCTGCGTGCCTGTACCCTCTCACTGGGACCCACGACCTCCCCCACAGAGCCGTAGGGTCTCAGGATCCTCGCCGGCCTGCATCCCGTGTGTCCGCTGCTGCCTCCGGCCAGACTTCGGCACGCGTGTCCCGAGGACGTGCGCGAGGACGCTCTCAGGCCATCTTCTCTCTTCCTGCGCGCCCGCCCCACGACCCTGCTGCTGCCCAGCCTTCTGCACCCGCCCGCGGACTGAGCCTCATTTCAAGCTCACGCCCACTTTTCTCCGTCTGGCTCCTTTACAGTCCGTGTGCTTTTCTTACCCCTGTGTTTTTGTTCTACAGATTTTACTGTTTCCGTGAGGAGTTTAACTTCGATGTATTTTAAGTCCTCTTCAGAAAACCGCCCACGTTTATGGCTTATCGGGAGCACACGTGCACTTGTGGGGCTCACTGGCGACTCTTCGTGGCAGAAGCCTCGTGGCTCTGGCTGCTCGGTCTCGAGCACGCGCGCGTGGGCAGTTCCGGGTTCTGTTCTTCTGCCCTTGCCTCCGGGTCTCCCTCCCTGTACTGTGTCCGGTGGTTCTGAGATGGGTCCCTGTTGTTTCCACGGGCTGGAGCGCCCACTTTGGCTGTGCGGCCCGCGCCGGCGGACGCTGGGCCCTCCGCCTCCCTAGCCGAGCCCCTCACGGGCGCTGCCCGTCTCTCTCCCTGTGGCCGGTGTGGCTCCAACCCCGGCAGCCTCTGGCCGGCACCACCTCTGGCCCGGAGGGACATCAGTTCCCGAGGGCCTGTCTGCATCTGCCGGCTTTGTCTTCTCAACGGTGGCAGAGGTGGCCGTGCACCGAGCGGCCGACAGCTCAACACGAGCTCCAGGTGCAGCCAGGCGCAGAAATCAGGCCCCTGCCGCATCGGCGCCCCCACCCGTCTGCCACCCGTCACCCAGGACATCCGCTGGTGAACCCCCAGGTCGGGCCAGCTCTGCCCCATGTCCCCATCCCGCGTGCCGTGCCCGCAGAACTCGCCCCCGTCCCTGCCCTGCCTGGGCTTCCCCAGCGCTTCTCCCAGCGTACAGGTCGGGCGCCCCCCGTACGTCTCCCTGCCGGGGGCACGCACACGTGGTGGGCGCGCTCTGGCGTTTTCTGCACGCCGGTGACCTCGTCTGCTCAGAGGCTGTGGGGCACGGCCGCCGAGGAGGCAGCCTTGAGCCACACTGCCTCCACCAAAGCCTCGAGTGTCCTGCTACCCGTCAGGCAGGCACGAGAGTCACGTAGACACCACCGGGCCCCTCCCCGCACACAGAGATCGGACGGCGGTGTGCTGTTGCCAGCTGTTTATTTGGCCCCCAAATGGGTGATCGGTGACATGCAGTTTGCCTGGGCCCACGGCGGACTGACCCGTGCTGTCGGCCCCGCTGCCGCA